GTTGTAAAGTCGACTAATGTAATAAGAGCGTTCAGTGAGCTGACTGTAAAATGTTAGAAAACAGTCTGTAAAATTGAAAAAACGAAGGAAATGTTGGCGGAGTTTTTTTGTAGGTTTAACCTAAGTCATTATCATGACAACCCTTCAGTGAAATTTTGAAAACATTAAGTAAATGTTCTGTGAATGCCTCATATATTTAAGCAGATTATCACAAAAGTCAACCGAAAAATCGACAATAAACTGCTTACAAAGTTGTGAAAAGCGATTGCAAAGTCGGTAGTTTCATTCGGGATTGTTACCTGTGATATCATATTAACAAGTCCCATAGTAAAAAGTTCGAAAATATGAGTAAATATTTTGTAAATTGCTGTTAAATTACCGTGGTGTTACTCCAAGTATGTAGAGGTCATAGGTCAATTCTAAAAGGTACTTGTGCAACCGATATCGATGTTAAAACATCCAAAAACATGAAACAGCCGCCAATTCGGATTCCTTTCAAATAATCCATGCAGCTGTGTGGTCAGGTGACCGACAAATGTTTCAAGTAAAGCACAACCGGACGTGGTTAGTACTTGCACGGGAGACTGCCTGAGTAAACGAGCTGCCAATTTTTTTTATTACATAAATGGAAATAATATAACTAAACGTTCCTGCATTTTTTCTTACTGTGATGTCAATCATTTATAGTGGTAAATCGTGTCATTTTCGTAACATTTTTAACTAATGGAAAGATTTCAAATTCCTTCTGCTTTTCAAGAACAAGTTGTTGATGCTGTCGGCACGTGGTGGGTTTTTAAGCTATTAACGCACCGTGCAACATTGTTCAAAGTGATGGCAAAGTAGTGCAAAGTTATTGCAAAATTGGTAGATGTATTTGTATATATGACCTAAATTATTGCCATATAGAAACACGTGGTTGTAAAGTCGACTAATTTAATAAAAGCGTTCATGTGAGCTGCCTGTAAAATGTTAGAAAACAGCCTGTAAAGTTGAAAAAACGAAGGAAATGTTGGCGGAGGTTTTTTGTATGTTTAACCTAAGTCATTATCATGACAACCCTACAGTTAAATTTCGAAAGCATTAAGTAAATGTTCTGTGAATGCCTCATATATAAGCAGATTATCACAAAAGTCAACCGAAAAATCGTTAACAATCTGCTTGGAAAGTTGTGAAAAACAATTGCAAATTTAGTAGTTTCATTCGGGATTGTTACCTGTGATATAACATTAACAAGTCTCGTAGTTAAAAGTTCGAAAATGTGAATAAATATTTCGTAAATTGCTGTTAAATTACCGTAGTGTTACTGCAAGTATGTAAAGGTCATAGGTCAATTCTAGGAGGTACTTGTGCAAGCGATACTAATATAGATTTTAAAACATCAAAAAACACGAAACAGCCGCTAATTCAGCTTAATTCCAAATAATCCATGCAGCTGTGTGATTAGGTGACCGACAAATGTTTAAAGTAAAGCACAACCGAACGTGGTTAGTACTTGCAGGGGAT